TATTAATAGCAGTGCTAAAAATATGCCCAGAATATCCAGAATGTGTAGAGAGTGAGTGATGGCATTTGTGACAGGGCTTGTCACGGATCTGCTGTCTGGGCAGGTGCTGGAGGCCTTGCGATGCAACCTGAAAAGCCTGAAGTGGTTCTGGGTCCTATTCTGCAGAAAGCTGCATGTAGGCAACTGCTTACACCATGAGAATGTTTCTCTTACGTATTCTAACCTCCCGATTAAATATTTATTTTCTCTTGGACTGGGATTTTTTAAATTTGTTGTGGAATCAGCAGAATTTGTGGCGGTCAGTTCAGACCACGGGAAATCTGATCCGGCAGGTTGGAGCCCAGCCAGTTGAGCACCCTAATTAACAGGAACCTGTAATTAACGTTTAAGCAGATGTGGCTTGGGCAGGTGGTATTTCCTGAATGTGTGTTTGCTGTGTGTTCACGCTGTATGTGAAGGATACAAATAAATGCGCTGTCTGCAACTGAGAAAAATACTTGTGTGTATGCTGAGCAGTTGGTCTGTGCGAGTGCTGTGCACTCACCCGCCACTGCTAAAACTGCCACATCTCAGCTCCTAATGGACTGAAACAAATTCCGAAATCCGGAAGGATTTCCGGTAGGAAAAGAGACATGTTGCATGGAAGCCTGTAAGTATAATAACCCTTTATGATGTGTTTCTTGCACTTTTTTTGCATTATCTGCTACCAGCTACTGTTGGGGAGAGCATATTAGGCAAGTTAACACTTTGATCTGACGTAGCTTTAGACAAAATATTGTCTAGTGAATTCACTGCAACTCTCAGAATTGGAAAACTATTACTCAGCTGAAAAATCAGCCCATAAAAATTCTAAAATCATTCTCGTTCTTAGTTGTTAACTCGATCTCCGGTAACTGCCTTATCAACGGTTTCATTGAACTGGAAGAAAATAGCGAGTAACAATTTACAGTCAAAATTTGATAAACTTTTAACTCTGCAAAAATGGGAATTGGGTTATGTGTTCTTATAGGACAGCAAGTGTAGAATTTTCCCACGCATTGCAGTATGGACAGAAAATCTTTAAAGACCCAAACAAACCACCCAAAGCTCTTCCTGTTTGAGGGAAGTTTTTGCCCCTGCAGATTTATCAGATTAAATCTGTAGAATCTTATTGCAGTTTGAGGTTGGTTGGAGAGGGTTGTAGTAGCTTAACGGGATTGTCTGATAAGGAATTGTGTCATACAGTAAAACTGTTCCGTCTTTTGGTTGTTAGTGTGACCTGTTGTACTTTTCCGGCATCCTTTGAGTGGTGTATCCCCAACAATGGGCAGCTGGTTGTTTTGCAATACCTTCTTCACTTTAGCATGCTGTGTTCTAAAAAGTGCTTTTGGAGCATATGACTTTCCATTAAGCTGCTGCAGCTCCAGGTTCCCTGTGGTTACTAGTTTTAAAATTAAATGTCTGTCTTTTGTGTGTGCGCATGCACGTGTGTTCATTTATCTTTTATAATCATCTGTTAAAGATGGGTCTTTTGAAGCTGTAGAGGCTGCAGAAAGCCTGGCTTTGTTACAGATGTATCTGCAGCTTATTTTGAATTTTTTTTGTAGCTTTGAACCTTCAACAATGATGCTCTGCTGCTCTTCACTGGCCAGGATGCTTAGCCGATCGGGCAGTAATATAAGACTTAGGCTTCTTGTTTACACAGGAATTCTGGGAATGTGCCTTCACAAACATTTTCCTGATCTAGTCATCATAGCAAAGTGGGAAAACTTTACCTTATTAAAGTGGAGTATGCTTTCTGAGCGTTAAGTGCAGTTTTACCTGTTTGTGGTTGGTTTTTTTTTTTTTAGTTCAGGAATTAAAAAAGTTCAGGAACTTTTTTTTTTTAGTTCAGGGTATTTGAGATGGAGCAGAATCCTGATGAAAACAAGTTTATGTCCCGTTTTGATGTACGTTAGTTCAATATCTGATCCATATTAGAAAGTAAAGGAAAGTGACATGTGGAAATCTCTTTGAAAACATCCAATAAAGGCACAGTGTTATTCAGACTGTTATTGTTGCATTTATTAATGTTGAGTCTAACTTAAGACCAGCTCTTAGGTCTCTTGTGGCTCCACTTCAATAAATTCTGCAGATTTACAGCAACTGGGATGTGCCCATTAACTTTCTGGGTATTCTTATTGACTGAACCTGAACAGGTAGCAGAATAAAGTATCTTGTTAATTTGAGTAAGGGAATCAGAAATTTGGTTGATGTTTAAAGGCAGTATTGTAAATGGAAATTGGCAATCACATTGCTATTGATTGCTACTGAGACTGCAGCCACTTGCAAAAGTGAGAAACAGTCTTCCTAGGGGCCTGTTTCTTTCCACTACTTAAGTCTTCCTACTGTGAATCTCAGTGCCCTGGCAGTTTTAGGAAGCAAGCTAATTGACAATTTGGAGAGAAGGACTGTGAAGTGCACGTGAAGTGTTGGGAGTTTTCCAAGACGAACTGCCAAACTTTACACTTTTCTGAATTTGGTCAGGTTTGGAAATAGGTTTTTTACATGTTACACTTGATATCCAACTAGTATGTAATAAAAATAATGAGTTAAATTACCTCTGACTTCAAGTCCATGCAGGCAGAAGTATTATATCAAAGATAAGTGCAAGTCAGTCGTTGTAAAAAATCGGGGGGTGGGGGGAATAAATCTTGCTGGTGGTGCTCATAAGATTTGTCAAATCAGTTTGATATGTGCTGATTTATTGTAGTAAAACGTGTGCTCATCATTTGCCATTTGATTGTAACATGCTGTAAAGACATTGGAGTAAATAGTGAGTGTGCTCATTTCTTTAACTTAATCAGCTACATCGGCACAAAATTTCAGAGATATGCTTATTTAATTATGAAGTGGAAAGTAACTCTACTTCTGTTACTAAGGGAGCAATTTCCTTATTGTATTTTCTTCTTTTCGTGCCTAATTCCTTTTATTGAAACTGAATACCTCTTGTTGCAATGTGCCACAACCTTACTGGCCTGGGATAAGTTTCTTGCAATTATTTATTCTATTAATATTTCTGTCTCAGGAGGGAGTTGCGGGTATTCTGTTAATGACTGTGTTAAACAACTTTTTATATTTCTGCACTGCCCAAGTTTATGTCATTACATTAGCAGGCACAGGAGATGAAATTGGAAACTTGTGATATACTACAGATCGGATTAACTCGTCTGTTTTGGGTAGGCTGCTTCAACTCTTATTTTAGATAATTAACAACGACTATATGTGCAGGACAGTTATTCCTCCTGAGTGGATCTCTGAAGTTTAACCTAAGTTTGTCGTTCTTGTAAAGGTTTTGAACTTTGTGCACTAACAACTTTGCTGTTGTAATGTGGGCTGGGGTATGACATATTTCTTGAATTAAGGAATTTTTGCATAGTTTTAAAACCTTTTGGATGTTGGAAGAATTATTACATCCATATAATGTGGGGATGGCCATTAGCCATTTGAATGTAGTACATAATGTGTGAGACATTCCTCAGCTATAATAGGTATTGTAACTTCACTTTTTGCCTTTTTATGGTTTTGTTGTTGTCTAGGCAGTTAATGTTCTTTTTTTTTAAAGCTCTCTTGAACCACAAGATAGTGTTGTTGGCTGGAGAAGGGACTCCCTGTGCTTGCTCTCTGTCTTAGCTTTCCCTGGTGGAGTTCTCCCTGGGGTTAGTGCAGGTACTTCAGCCGGGAGCATCCTGCCTGTGGCTTCGCAGCTGGATTTTGCGTAGCGCTGGGTGCCTGTTACAGCACTTGCTGGCATTCTCAAATGCCTGTTGCTTTTGGTAGTGGTTTTAAAAAGATTATGCATTATTCAACCATCGCTTTTGATGTGTGCAAGACAGGCAGGGTATTTTTTAAGGTTCTACTAAGGACCCTAAAGCATCTCAACATAATTGACTGTTTTGTGAAGAGAAGGTTGCGAGCAAGAGTTTCAGGGAGTGTCAGTATCTCTGTGCTTGGAAATCAATACCTCTGTGATCCTCAGTCTTGTTTCTCAGTCCTGAGAGCTTCAAGGAGGGGAAAAAAATATTCCCCAAAACTACCTGGAAAACTCAGCAAATAATCCATAAGCTTCTTGCACTGCATTTGAATCGTGCTTTCTGTTTGAATAATGGTGCTTTTTATTTGTGCCCTGCTTTGCTTACCTAAGTGCTTGCCTACATAAGTCAGGAAAGCCTTTAGTCGTCCCTTCAGCATGTCTGTGCTCGGCAGTTATCTTTAAAACACTCTCTGCCTCCAATACCCTTGGGCATTTGCTGGGGAGGAGGGTGGCCCTTCGGTGCCATCACCGTTTTTATGCTATGGCCCAGCTGGCAGCAGGTGTTGGACAGTGGTACAAGCACAGCGATACAGACCACCCCATCTGAAGTCTCTCTTGGCCCATCTGGTAGGTTCTGCCAGAATAATTTCCAGGCTCGTGCCGTACGCTTGCCAGGCTGTTGGCTCGAGTAGTCCTTCAGTGCAGGTAGGAAATCTGAGGAAAACTTTGCGACAGCCAGCACAGTATTTGGGGGAGCAGTTCCATTCTGTTTAGCAAATTTGCTCTACTTGATGAATTTCAGCCAAACATATAATTACAACTGATTCTGAGCATCATGCCCTCCCTGAAGTCCCTAAAATATAACTTCAGATTGCGTTCATAATACTTAATGGCTGGTTAAATTGATGCTATATCCAAAACTTGATCAGCACCAGAGAGATTAATTTTGAAACACTTACTATGATGATTTCTGCAGGGCTCTTTATGTTTTAATTAGGCATGTTTCTTACAAATATTTTTTTCTTATTTTTACTTCCCCAAAAGCAGTGTCTCTTGTCCCACAATCGGTAAGAAATTATTGGCAAAAAAATGGTGGGTGAATTTTTTTTGCATGTTTGATCCATTACGAATAAAATTACGGACTGATGCATATTAAGGTACATGTGTCTTAGTGGGAATTAAACTAAAACTGCTGTATTTACTTGTTCTTTTTTTTTTTTTTCCCCAGAGATTTGTTACAGTTCCCTAGAGAAGATGATGTAGACACTGCAATGAAAATTCTGGTTCAGTGGACTTCCCAAGGCCTCGAAGATGTCCAGCTGGTAAATTACTCTGTTTTGCTTGACCTACCAGGCTCTTCTTCAAACACAGTAACACTGAAAACAAGCAGTGAATGCTTTTATCCCAGTGGACAACAGTGCAACAGTGAGACCAGAACGCTACATAGCCAAGACCTCCTGTACTCATATGCAGCCTACTCTGCCAAAGGAACTCTTGAGGTAATATGACCATTTGTCTCTCTCAGCTGTGGTGGACTAGAGTTAGAAAACATCAGCTTTCATTGAACTTGGCTGGCAAAGTACACATGGTGAAATGCCCAACCTTAAAGTAAACATATTTAGGTAAACTATGATGTGACCAATCTCATTTCAGACTTAAAAATTAGCAGGACCTGAATGCTTCATATTGTTATTATTTTTATTTTTAAGTTTATGACATGACAGTTTTTGGGTGTAAAAAAAAAAGGGAACTGTGCTTAGAGCTACCTTTTATCTTTATTGATATATAATTGCTAGTAGTTTGAGGGATGCCTGTGCGAAGGGTAAGATGAGTTTTTCTGCAGTGAGGCCTGCGGGAGATCTGGGCGAATACCTGGAGCTGCTGAATTATGGTTTTGCGTGTCTCATACTTTCTTCTTTGGCAACTCGGTTGACACATCTGCTCAGTTTCCTGTTGAAAACGCCAGTTTGTATTTTTTTCTTACTGTAGCTTTTGTTAGGAAGTGTTGTCAGTGAAAAGATCCTGACTGTTGGGATTCATTACTTGCCAAGTGAAATAAGATCTTGGATTATCTTGCTTTATCCTCTTTACTGTCTTCATCGGCTGTCTTCCTATATTTACTTTTCAGATATATTGGGGGTGCACAAAGGGGTCATTATTTCTGTTTACTTTCCTATCTGAGACAGTATAAATCTCAATACATATTTCTGAAATATAAAAATTGCAATTTCACTGCTAGCTGTTGTCTTTGTCATTTTAAAAATATTGTGTGTTGCTTCCAATTATGCAGGGGCTTTTCCATCTTGGTTTCTTTATCGTTTAACAGTAGAGCTTTGTTTTCATGACTGAGAACAGTAACATAGGAATAAATTGCAAATGGTTGTGGGTTTGGAGGATACCTCTTCCAAAACACCATTATACTTTGTGAATATCTTAATATGTATAGCATATCAGCTACTGAAAGTCTAACAGTAAAATGCAACTGGTTTGTATTTTCCTCTTATTTGTGTCAGTGTTTACCCTTAATGTCATTGATAACATTTAATGCTCTGTGGAAATCTTGTAATGAATCAAAAATTGATAAGTTGCATGATGCTAACCAACCCATTTTATAGACTATTAATATAATTTCAAATTTTGGACTGTAGGAAATCTGAGGGCGGGTAGCAAGTCAGATCCTTAAGATTCTTATCGTGAAGTCCACAAGCCTCAGCTTTTCTTTCCTACAACCACTTGAGCTTTTTAGTCCAACGGTTTTATTCCAGAGATGAGGAGGAATGGAGTTCTCGTTCCCCTTTGGGAGGAAGACTTCTCTCCACCTCCTTTTTTTGTGTACCTTATATGCCTACTTTCCAGCTTGAGTCTCGTGGTCATTACCTCCTTACAACCACTGTTCTGGGGCTCTGTCAACCCAACAATTTCAGATTAAGGTTTGTTGTTAAGAAGTGAAATGGAGTAGGCAAGGGTAGGTCTTAACCTGCATGATGTATTCTTTAACTTTTCTACGGGCAAGTAAAAAGTACTAATGGATGAGTTTAGCTTCTCACATTCATCACTTAGAAACTCAGTGTGTAATATTATTTTCTCATTGTAACTTAATAAGAGTAACTGTAATGAGATGGAAGTACAGTTGTGGCTTTTGAGATTTATTTCTTGAAAATGAAATGTGTGGCTAACAAATTCATCATATTAAAGGAAATACAGTGTTCTGGGAAAAAAATCATTGATGTTATTACCAGCAACACACATACCACTTGCTGTTATATTTCATGGCAGCTTTAACAATGATTGAGTTCTGTGGAAATGAGGACCACGCATGCTGCCGATGTACTCCATCACTAGGGTGTACCTTGTCTTCGGCAAAACTTGGAGCTTGTACTGGAGCCAAAGAATTACTCTGTGCATAATTTTACAGTCAATTCTTTAAAATACCTACACCCTCTCAAACTTCAGATGTTTTTCTTTTATTCCTCAAAAGGTCTACGTGAAGTGTCCTTAGATCTAGAGTTTTGCCTGAAAGGGGAAATGTCCTATTTGTTTAGGCTGTGGATAAGTTGGTAGTGGTCTAACCTTCCCCACTTTCAATCCTACACGGAAATCTCTACTATTTAAATGAACGGAAGCAGAAAAACTCTAAATGAGAAGTAGCAGGTGGTGGCTCTTGCTGGGTTCAGCCGTCAGAGGGTGACTTGATTGATTGCAGTGGAGCTACAAGTTGTGTATTTAGAATATCTTGAGGTGAGGTATGATTGCAAAATCATGAGGGTTTTCCTGTGAAAAGGTATTCTTGTAACAGCTACTCGTAATCTGAATAATTTTCTTTCAAATGTAACACATCTTCAGTGGAAGATTTCTATTGTGTCACATAATCAGGTTGAATTGCTAATATTGCTTCAATACTGCTTCTTCATTGTGTCTCATTTGTATATTTGGTTTGCTAGTTCAAGCAAGTAAACCCATTAAGTTACTGCAGCCTGGCTACCAGCAGAGCTACAGCGCTACTTTCATGTTGACAAGGTTCTTTGTAGAATGGCAAGACTCATTTTCTTTGACCACCTGTCATGTCCATTCATCATACGGCCATTGTATATGAGCTGTCCAATTTGTGCTTTCTGGTAACAGTCTAAACAGCATTTGTGAGTGAAAATGTGAGCATTTGTGATCTGAAATCTACTTCAAAAACCTGCTTAGTGCCATCGTGATGGATGGTGCACTTTACTACTTCTCTATAATTCATTGGGCCCTGAAAAGGTGACACTGTTTACCCATCATGCTGACAGGCAGGGCAGCCTACAGGTCTGGAGAGAGCTGTCTAGTCGGTTTTGAAATAGATGCTGCAGCAGTTATGTAAATAATGTATCATAAGCTAGATCAGTCTAAGGAAAGAATAACAAAAGTGAAATATATTTTTATTAAAACTTAAACATCGGCCACCTTTTACAGAGTTTGAACTGTTTGTCTGCCTGATGAAAACAGGAAAGCCACCCTGGCCAACAGGGTACATATATAAGGCAAAATTACCTTGCATCAAAGGCATGCATTAAAGCAAAAAGCATTGTCAAACGGTATCTAGCCAGTCTCTGGGTGAGTGCAGCTTGGTGAATCTGCATGTGCTGCTCCCTGCCTTCACGGTGTGCGGTCGGCTGAGTGCTGTGGCCGCATGCGCTCTCACTGGCGGGGCAGCAGAGGGATGAGCTGGGGAGCCGTTGGTGAGAGCCCAGGAGATGTGTGTGCAAACCCCCGGAGATCCAGCGTCCGCCTCCCGGCAGCACGTTGGTAAGTGGTGTCAGTGCAGGTGCGTGCTGTAGCCCACCTGCTAACACGCACAGCCGTGATCCCCCCAGTGCAGCGAGGTGTAAGTAAGGATACATCCTAGCTGGAAGCGCAGCACAAGGCTGGGTGGTACTGGGGCCATCTGGGCCATTCCTCCATCCTTTCCTTTTTGCATCGTGGACGATCTCAGCAAGCCCAGGTTGTTCTTGTCTGGACCTCCTACACTGACAGGACTATGGTGGTTCAGGAACGAGGGAAGGATGCCATGACAGCGCAGGTACTGGCATGTTCTTCAAACGGGAATCCATATGCAGGCAGGGGTTTGACGGTTTCACGGGCAGAAATGAATCATCCCCATCGCCAAGGCAGATTCTCCCAACACCTTACCGTGTCTCCTTCGTACTTCGACCCCTCCTCTGTCCCCTGACGGCTTGGACTCCTCCGCTACGTCACTTCACTTCCCTGCTGTCGTCCACATTCCCTGACTGATTCTATCCATTTCCCAGTTCGAAGCATCTGCTGATTTCGGGCGTTTATGCTCCCAGCTCAGCCAGCGATATCTTTGATTCGTTTTGGAGGGGCTGCAGGGAGCAGACAAGTGAGAATGCTGACTGTTTGCCTCTATGCAGAAGAGATTCTCTACATCTGTTGATGGCATATCAGCCTGCTCCGGTTCATTTGTTTTGGTGACATTTTCTCAGCTAAATGAGAACCCACCACAGAGATTAATGCAACCTGAAGCAACACGAGAAGTACAAACCCATCTGTTAAGCTCACTCAGTGATCTTCCCACCATTCTTCAATCTTGGCAAGATGGGAATAAGGGAAGCAGGACTCAGATTGCTGTCAGATCCTCTTTCACAAGGAAGGAGGGGGCTTGCTCACTTCTTATCAGATACCCATTTTCTTATGGCTTTGCTGAGATGTCTCTTCTCCCTGTCCATCCCCTTCTCTCCCAGGTCCTTCACTCTGCAGGAAGATGGGAGTCTTCCTCTCCTGTATCACCTTTATCTCTAATCTTTCCCACTCATTGCAGGCTTCCCGGTTTGTGCCCTACAGTCTCCCACCCCCTCTGCTAGGTCTTTGCATTGCTGCAGCACAGTTTCCTCACAGTACTCACAGCTCTATTTTTCTAGCTCTGCACCGAAAGGTTATGGGTTCCTCTGGAGGGACAGCGCATGAGGAGGTCCGTGACCTGACAGCTTGCTTCCATTTGATTCGGTTTCATTGTGCTGGAAATGTGATTAGTGCGCCCTTATTATCTTTTATCTTCCCTCCAGCTAATCAGTGGTAATTTCCTTAACAATATTTCTGAGTTTAGATTGGTGTCAGCGGGTTGGTTTTAGAAAATTTTAAAACCTTCCCAGGTTATTTTTATCCCTAGGCAAAATTTCCAAATGAGCCTTCTGCAGCATGCTCACTTGCACATCTTGAATTCCAAAGGCAGAGAGTGCATATAATTCAGATTAAATAATCACAGCATCTCACCCTAAGTCTTTCAGTCATTTTAGATGGCACATTGGTGCAAAATATCAAGCTGGAGGGAATCTTGATACATGTGTGCATTTAATTCTTTTAGGCACGCCAATTTAGTTCATTATAATCTTTATTAACATTTTCTAAAATTTCTTCTCTGAAGAGACATGTACTAGCAAAAATGAATCCCTAGCAACAGAAATCAGTTTGCGGATGGCTAGGGCTATAGGTTGGATAACACATATACACA